AAGAAATTTTTCCTAATATCCAACCTGAACCACCCATGGCACAACTTGAGGCCATTCCCTCTAGTCCTATGACTAGTCACACAGGAGAAGAGGTCAACCCCTACCTCCACATAACGTGTCACAGTTCATAATACTAACTTTCCAAGGCATACCGCTCACAAGCAATCATCAGCTCTCTGAAAAGCCCATCAAACAATCAAACCCAAAATCTCTGCCCTGCTGAGCTGGTGGGTGCCTCTCTGCCTTTCTTTTATTGCTTCGGTATCGTTGTGCTTCAGTGCACAGTGAAGGAGGCAGGGACTGGCTCAGAGGGATGCTGTTAAATCTACTTGCTAAATAAACTGTGCCTTGCTTATGATGTGCTGGCACACCATCAATCAGGAGACACTGTCCTATGAAGTACAGCGATGTAAAACCTAGATTTAATCATGGTATTTGTTCATGTACTCCAGGCTGTGATCTGATGTGACCAGTTTTAGCATACAATGATAATTTTAATTTTTACTTCCACATAAATTATCAGGGTTATAATTAGCTTTTTGCACACCATCCTTATCTGGAGTCAGTTGCTTTAGGCCCAAAGTGGGTGCATTAATGCAATGTAATCCTGAAAGCTAGGCCAAATTTACCCAAAGAGAAACTGAAACTGCATAGATAAAATGTATTTCATTTTCTCCTCTGATCTGTCATCTATCCTAAATCATGTATGAAGAATAAAATATTTGTCTAGATACAAAGGAGAAACAATCCTAACTTTCAGAATTTTACATCTTCATTGAGGAAGTCAAATGTGATTTTTACATGACATTAAAGAAAAGAAGCACAGAAAAAAAAAAAAAATCACAGAAGAAATGTTGGAAAAAAAGAAAGTCATTTTTTTTCCCTTATCTTAACATGTTTGAAGAATCAGTTTGATTTTTACCTTAATAATTTTTCTGTAAAATTATTTAAGCATCATAATTCAAATCATGATAGAGATAGTCTGCAAAATTAATATTTGGAAAGGATGTTTATATCTATGTCAGTCTCTTATTGATTTCATTGAACTGGAAAGGTTATCTACAGAAATAAATTTCAAAACCTATCATAACATTTTCCAAAACGGAACAGTAAATTGCTTAAATAGAACCTCATAATTTTAAAGGTGCTGGATCAAAACAATTAAACAATTTGAAAGAGGTGAAAAGCAGTGCTGTAAGAATGTAGTCTTTAGGGGAACAATTTATCTGTTTTACCTTAGCATATTTATCTGAGCCTCTTTTTCCTGGTAACTAAAAATATATTGGCCATAAACATGGATGAATGCAAACTGCTAAGACTTCTTTAACTCCATGATAACTAGTCCTTTGGCTTGTGAGAATTGCTAATTTGTCTTTTGGGAATGACTTTTCAACAAATTGTCCAGATTTTTATTGTCTTACACTAAAGAAAATTAAGTCCATTACGACGGACATTGAATATTTGTGTTTTTGTTTTCAATTAGTACTCATCTTTTGAGAAAATGAAGTAAATGAATACGTATAGATACATTAATTTTGAAAGTCAAAGGAAGCACACATGGAGAAGATAAACTTCTGGTTTTGACACAGCATGCTTTTGTTTGCAGAAAGGGAAGTCCCAGTGTTATCTAACCTTCTTAGTTAAGTAAAGAACTCAACAGCTTAGTAAAGCTTCTCTTAAATGAGAAGCTTCCTCTTCTTTCTTGGAATTAAGATTTCATAGTTCTTTGTTCTTACTGGAGAGGTTTCTCAGACCTGCTTGTATTGGTGACTTTCATTTTTAGATACCATACATATCAGCTTTCAATGTTTTTAAGTATGCTATTTACCAATGTCATATTTGTTATTAATCAATTATTATTTAAAGTGCATTATGATACCAGATGAATTAGTTACACCAGTTACCTCCCTGTCAAGCACCAGTCTGAACTACAAGGTCAAAACGGGATGGGAAAATTTGATTCCTACTCATCAAATTCCTGACTGTTTTAAAATCAGGATCAAAATTTCACTGTTAATCAAGTGGTAAAATATGTGCTTGGACAGGGATGAACTGATACCAAAGTATGAAACAGATTTGCTCCTCCTTGCAACTTCAAAATGAAAACATTCCTAAAGAGATATGCTGCTGTTTAATGTCTGCCCATGAAAAAAGTTTGCTTAGCTCATATTTACTTATTTTCATTTCCATTTGGGAAAGGACTCTTACATCACAAATACTCTAAACTCTAAACAGATGATATCTGTGATTTGATTCTCTTTTCCTTTTTTATTTGGATTTGAAATACTTTTGTTTTTGTTGTTTGGGGTATTTTTGGGTTGTTTTCTTTTCCATTGTAAGAAGAAAAAGAATAGAAGGTTATTTATCATTTCAGTTTTTATCTGCACTGTTCTTCTCATGTTGTAACATTTTGTGAGTCTAAGAGTTATTCAGCATCTGATTGTGCTTTGTACCATTACAGAAGTTCCCAAAGAATTCTGGACTGCAGGGGAAAAGATGGCATATAGGAAGAAATACCAAAGCAATATCATTTTCCCTGGATTCTGATTAAGCTGAGGTTTGGATTCCTGATAGTGTATTTCCTACTCTCAAGCTCATCACCCCTCTCTTCTTTGCTCTCTTTTTGTAACAGTGCAGCTGCTACTCTTCTTTCTCCCATGGTAGAGCATGAATTAACCAGCTCTTGAGTGTTTTGTCTGAAGAGTCCTCAGCATGCCACTCAATCACGAAACAGGAGTAAGTGCAACCAAAGTACCCTCGGAATACCCGAACATCTCCAAATGGGAAAACAAGACAAGAATAAGGTCCTTCTCTAGACCGTAGGTCTTGCCTGGGCTGCATCAGGTGCAGAGGAACTATCTAAGGCCATATATAAAATACACTATGTACTTAATGTATGTAAGTAACAAAAAAAAATTTTTTTTTTTTTAAGTTAACTAAAGCACATAAAAAAGAGAGTAGCAAAAACTTCAAACTGACAGGATTTACTCCAGCAATGCTGGAATTAAAAAAATATGCAGCCATTTATTTTTGTAGTAGTAGCACTGTTGTCTGTGTAACTATAACAATAAAATGAGCAAAACACTATTTGATACATTTTACACTTCCCATAGCACAGCTGTTAAACAAACAAGCAAACAAAAACCACCATTTTAACACACTGACTGTGGAGACCACAATTGTCATCAATTTTTCTGTGCCCAGGTATGGACACTGCAGATGTTGCCATCATTTCTACCCTTTAAGAACTATGTTTGAAAATTCCCATGCACACCACGTGTTTAATATGTTATTAATAGAGATGCTCTATTAGTCTGAGTTCAGAAGACTTATTGATAACCCATTTTTTGACAATTCTATATTTGATATGCCTTTCCTGACTATAAAGCTGGGCTTACATGACAACATTTTGAAATTATTTCTGATTTTGAAATATAGAATCATAGAATCACCAGGGTTGGAAAAGACGTCCAAGAGCTAGTCCAACCATCCACATATCACCAATATTTCCCCACTAATTCACGTCCCTTAGTACATCCACTGCAGCACTTAACCACTCTTTTGGAGAGTAAATTTTTCCTACTATCCAACCTGAACCTCCCCAAGTGCAACTTGACACCACTCCCTCTCATCCTATCACTGGTTAGGTAGGAGAGGACAACAAATCCCATCTCACACACCCTCCTTTCAGGTAGATGTAGAGAGCAATTATGTCTGCTCTTAGCCTTCTCTTCTGGAGACTAAACAAGCTGAATTTACTAAGCAGCAGAGTTCCCTCAACTGCCTCTTATAAGACTTGTGCTTCACATCCTTCACCCGCTTCAGCGTCCTTCTCCGGACATGCTCCAGGGCCTCAGGGCCTTTCTTTTAGTGAGGGCCCAGAACTGAGCACAGTGCTGAGTATGTTGGGACAATCTCTTCCCCACTCCACCTGACAAGACTGTTTCTGATACAAGACAGGATGCCATTGGCCTCCTTGGCCACCTGGCATACACACAGAGCTCGTGTACTTGGTGTTGTTATAGGTACATACGTTCATGGACAGCCACATAGAGCACTCATGTGAACACAAACAATAACAACAGCATCATCCTGTTCCTCTCCCTGGCTGAGCAGGACAGAACAGGAATGCATGTACACATAAGTACAGCGTGCATGCCTCCAGCAGTGGGCCTTAGACAAGTGGTCTGTGCACTAGCTGCTTCTGGATGCCAGTCTTTGTTCTAGTACCTAGACATGAGCCTATGAGATATACAGACACTCTCCCTGTCTTCCAAGCCATTGTGCATCCTCACTGGATTGGGTGGATGGACCTTTGCTTGCACTCACATACCCCCTCACTGTGGCAATCTAGGCAGGCACAAGGGCCATTGAGCTCTGGTTCCACGCAGTGAATGGCACATGGTGTCGTGCCCCTTAATGGCACACAGGTGTGGGGTCCCTCTGGCATAGTGTAGCCCAGCTGCTGACACCAGACCCTACTCCAGCTGCAGCCACTACAGACATACAGGTTTCTGCCGCTGAGGTCCAGGCGCAGGCTCTGGTGTACAGTGGCTGCTCAGTGAGCTCTCAGACACCTGCAGGTTAATGGCTCCATAAAAATGCCAGCCACCAACTGAAGATGGCAGTGCCAGATACTTAAGCAGACAGCAACCTCTGTGTCCTTCAGTAGATAGCTGTGCCATGTGCAAGTCGGCATGCATTCTGAGTTTTCCTTATATCCTTTGCTGTACGTGTGACAGTGTTCTTATAACACATAGGAAATATTTTGGTTCTTTGATACATCTATGTCCCGAGTAAGGTTCTTGATTTCAGGTTGCTTTTGCCTGGTTGATTAGGGTCATCATAGTGGCACAGAAGGTGCGTACCAGGTTATAACACCCGATGTCGTGATCGGAGCTTTGCGCTCCGCAGGTCACGTCCGGGCAGAGCGTCGGGAGCGGTCGAACTTCCAGTCCTCCGACGGCAGCCGCCGTCCACCCGGAGGACCTCAGTTTCTGTTTCGATTTCGTTTACTGAAAGCCCCTGGCTTTCGGGAATGCAGAGCCACTAGGCACCGCGAGGACGACTCTATCCAGCGCATGTGGGGATACCGTTCCTCCTCACCCGTCCCCGTCGCCGGCTCTTTTCGGCCTCATCTCCTCGGCCGATGACCGCAGCTCCCCGGCATCGGCCACCAGAAGCCGGCAGGTAGGCGAGAGGCCGGTGTGGGCGGGGGGAGCAGCCGCTGTGGTTCTGGCTGTTCTCTGCCGCGAGCGGCTCCGGTCCTGTGCTTTACTCGGTGGTACCTGATGGGGCTGGGATGTCCGTATGAAAATCCTGAACAGAACAATAGAAACACCCATCCCCCCACAACAGCAAACCGAATTGAAAACTCACTACAGTTGATATATATGGCATTTATGGCTGTATCTACGTCTGTACCTATGTCCATGTCTACAGGTGTATGTATATCTAAATCTATATCTATATCATCTATATCTTCTATATAGGACAAGAGCATATGGTTGGACAAGGGGAAATGATTTCAAGCCAAAAGAGGGGAGATTCAGATTCGATGTAAGGAAAAAGTTTTTTTTGCGATTAGGGTGGTGAGTCACTAGAACAGGTTGCCAAGAGATGTGGTGGATGCCCCGTCCCTGGAGACAACCAAGGTCGGGATGGATGGGGCTCTGAGCACTTGATGGAGCTGTGGGTGTCTCTGCTCATTGCAGGGAGTTGGACTAGATGACCTTTGAAGATCCCTTCCAACTCAAACATTTCTTAATTTTGTGATTTTACATCTGTATCTATACCTATATTTATATCCACATAGTTTATGCTTTAAATCCTGTAAATGATACATATATATAAAACAGTAGGTATCTATATACATACAAACATATAAGACCACCACAGTGAAAAAAATTTCAGTGGTCTTTTCTTCGCTGTTATGTGCTTGCATGGAAAACCCAGCTCTGAGCTCAAGGCAAATGATGAAAAAGAGGAAACAATTCATGACTTTGACAGCTGGCTACACTGATGGCTTCTGTGGTCTCGAAGTCATTGTTTGACAAATCCCTTTTGGTTTCTTTTTGCTGCATCTTCGCTTCTGAGAAAATAGAATGTCATTAACACACGCTTTTAAGCACAGTAGAAACCAGTGGAAATAAACCTTCATCAGTCTCTCCTACTATGGAAATCCACCATCTCAGCCTCCTAGAGTACTTTCAGATTACCAGAACTTAAATGTTACATTTTGCTATTTCATACTCCTGTCATGTTCCTCCTACGCTTCAAGTAAAAAGGCCAACTCTGACCAATTTTGCCTGTTATGTGTTTTTGCTTCCATGACAGGTACTCTGAGTAGGCTGTCAGGTTAAAGAAGAAAATATTTCCTGGAAACTTTTAAGTGGTCTTACATCATTTAAACTCTTCTGACAATCTTCTCTACTTTTTGAGATGCACAAAAGCAACAGAATTGGGTGAGCCTACACTGAAGCATAGGCTTGAAGTCCTATTTGGTTCTGTTGAACACGTCCCACTGCAGTCAGCAGGTGAATGTAAGTAATATTCTTTGTCTTCTTGTGCTTGTTTTCTTTTCTGTATTCCTTAATGACTTCTAGAATCACAAAAAAGTTTTCCTGAATTAGTGTAGAGGGATCAAACATTGCCTAAATATTGTTCTGATGACATGACACATTTCTTAATATGCCTGTGGCATTTCAAGCGCTAGTTTTCCCATTTTTTGTCTCTGGTTACAATTAACCACTGTTAGCAACAGAGAATTTTCCCTGCTGGGGAACTTTCCAATAATGGGGAAGTTTCCTGAAGAAGTGGAGTTACATGAACATTTAAGTTCTGCTATAAGAAGGCTTGGGCAAGTAGTTCTGTTCTTGTCATCTCCATGTGATTGTGAGGGAACTGTGCAGCCAGCTGTCCTGAAGACTGTTTCTTGCTACAGCTACTTTTGCCTCTTTAGAACAGTGTTATCAACAGATGTCAGAAATCAGTCGGAGCAGAGAAGGAGCATTGTGGCAGGTTCTGTAAGAAAAGCAGTGAGAAGACTCTGGATTTGGCTTGGCATTTAGGTCTCAAGCTGCTTCAGTTGAGCCAGCTTGGGCATGAAGCAGAGCAGTCTGTGATAGTTACTGCAGAGAGCATTTTTGAGTGCTTTTGGATTTGACCTGGACCTACTTTTTTATCCTCACTGAAAGTGAACAATTGAGTACAGCGGCACAGCAGACTATCTCAGTCTTGAGGAATTTTGTAAGTAACAGTCATATATTTTCTACATCTAGTAAAGCTTATCTTCTTCTATGACAGTTGAAAGCAAAGGAATTAGAATTTTACAATTTCAGAATACAGACATGGGTCTGAGAACCACAGAAGAGCTTCCTTGCTATCATCCCTCTCTCAGGAGTTGATTTCCTCTCCTAAGAGTTTAATACCTACAGAGAACTGGGATGGGATGCATCCACAGGCGTGGGTGTCCTCCTGTGTCAGTAGTGCATGTACTCCTTGTTCTGGTCACCATTTCAGTTCTGATCTCTACTATGAATAGGCTATGACCTCTTCATTATGATCTCTACTATGAATAGACACTCTGAATAAAGCATTTTCAAGCTTGAGTGTTTCAAGCCTGAGTGTACTGCAGTTTTCGTCATTCGTAGCTTGGAGAAGACTGTGGGGAAACCTCACTGTGGCCTCTTGGTACTTGAAGAGAGTTTATAAACAGGAAAAGAGCCAACTTTTTACATGGCCAAATAGTGATAGAACAAGGGGGAATGGCTTTAAAGTAAAAGAGGGGAAATTTAAGTTAGATGTTAGGGAGAAACTGTTTATTCAGAAGGCAGTGAAGCACTGTCACAGGCTGCCCAGAGAAGCTGTGGGTGTCCCATCCATGGAGGTGCTCAGTACCAGGCTAGATGGGGACCTGGGCAGCCTGACTCACTCAGTGAGTGGCAATTGTGCCTGTGGCAGGGGGTTGAAACTTGATGATCTTTCCAATCCAAGCCATTCTATGATTCTATGGTCTTGGCATGGCGAACACTGAAAGTTGCACATCTGCACAGGGCAGCCTCTGTGGCTTACTCTATGCAGGCCATGCTTGGAGTGAATGTGGCTGAGACACACCTGTGAGATTTGTCTATCTCATTTGAAAAGGTTTGTTTTCTTGGGAAGCAAGAATTGAGGGAATCTAATGCATGTACATCACCTAGGCATCCTTGGGCAATCAGACTGCTGTTGCTTTTAAGAATGGTTAAAGAGTGAATTGGTATCCAGATATATTAAGAAGACTGTTAATTATTCATTCATGAAATGTACCTTTCACCTTGAGACTTGTCTTTATTTTCTTGTCACTGTTAGCAGAGCCCCACTCATGCCTGCCTAGCAGCATGGTTAATGGGCTCCCTTCCTGAGCTCCAACTACCCCGCCATCCACAAACACTGTTCTGGGATCAGACAGTAGCAATGTGGGGGAATAAGGAAGCCTAAATCAAATTATTGGGAGAAGCCTCATCCTCTTAAGCCACAGTACTGTAAAGGCATACATGTCTTAATGGCTCAGAGCAATATTGCTCATTTATCACCTTAGTGTCGAAAACCAGAGAAATACCAAACTGTTGGGTAAATTTTGCAATTCTGAGATAATTTCATAAGTTAGGAGGTCTGATGGTTACCTTAGTTCCTAATTTCTTATGCAAATTTCTGTTACCACTAGAGAACAGTTGAATGCAATCTTTCCTTTGTATGTGCCAAATGAGAGTTTTATTTAGACAAAATTGTGGAGTTCTCTGTACTCACAAAAGACTTCCATTGAAATCAGCTTAAGCTTTTGTTAAGTGCACTTTGAAGATATACTACTGTTTGATCCCAGTACTGCTCTGACTTAAGTTTCACATTTAAGCAAAAGCAGTGGGTGTGTGAAGGCAAGTGTCTGAATTGACATTAATCAGTGTTTTGTATTTTTGAAATGTTGTGTAGGAGTATAAAAGTCATGTTAGTAAAGAAGGGAAAATTGCTGAGGGAAAATTGACACATTTGCATGTTCAGAACTAAAGCGGCAGAATTTCGAGGTTTTGTTTGTAGGCTGTTTAAATACTGTTTTACAAGGGCAATGCTGTTTCAGTGCTGTGAAGTCCCAGGTGCTACAAAGCTCAATGCAGTAAAATAAGGGCAGCTTTCAGGGAACTGAGGTCACTGCACCCACTATGTGTGCAGAGAATGTGAATAGGGAACTGCTCCCTTCTTTTCCCATCAGGAGAAACTATCCCTGCTGTGGGTTATAGGAACAACTGGGTACTTGTGAGTATTCATTTACTATTTGACAGATAGTGATAAGGTTCATGTTTTGCCATAATTAACAAATGTGTTTACAGGAAATAAAATCAGGTGCTCTCTCTGAACCTGCCAATGGAGGTTTCTGCCTCACTTGGCACTCACACATGCAACTCTGTCATGCCTTTGCTAGAGTGGAATTCAGTGTCTTGTGTCCACTTCTTTGAGCACGGTGGCTGTGAATTGTATTTTATAGTGCAAGTTAGAAAATAAGCAAATATTTATGTTCATCCATTATCGTTTTAGGTTCTACTGACGTGATGGAAAAGCTTTTGCTTTTGCACATGTTTCTATTCTGCTGGCACTCCCTAAATGGTAAGAAGCTGAATTGTAAGAAGTAACAGAACCATTTGTTTCCTTCTATGTGTAAGCATGGAAATTGTAATTTCTGTTTTCCTGCAGGTGCTTATTTGTTTATTTATTTATTTATTTATCTGAACATTTTTGAATAAAAAGGTCACCGTAGGCTTCCACGCTACACAAGATCTGTGTGCTTAGTATGAGTGCTTTGATGTAGGCTTGAAATCCCTGCCAGCATCTCAATATAGACATCATGGAGGCAAGATACTATCTGCCTTCAGCAAAATTGGCAATTTTAGGTCTGGGATTTGTTACATGTTCTTGAACATCCCTGGAGAAAGGAACTGGCACTTCTGTAAACAGAACATTCTCACAAGAGGCATTAACAGTTGATTAACAGTTGCCTGTTACTTTAGTGATGTTCTGAAAGCTGAGGGGGTGGATGCACACATGCTACTGTTCTTAGTACATACTGAGTACCTGCACAAAGCAGGTGTCTGCAGGCATAAACAGCCCTGATTGTTATTGCGAAAAGGCACGCAAAAAAACTCAACAAGAACATGTCAGATACTTTTGGTCCTCAAAATGTCATATAAACATATATCATAGGTATTGATTAAGCATGGCTTTCACAATAAGGCTTATAACAGAAAATTAAGTTTTTTTCAAATATTCTTTCTCAGCTTTATTCACAGTTGAAGCTCCCAAATCGCTGTATACTGCGGAACTTGGCAGCAATGTGACAATGGAATGTATATTTCCAGTGAATGGAAAACTGAAGTTCAGGGATTTAAGCATCATCTGGGAAAAAAAAGATGAAGTTAGAAAGGATGTTTATGTACTCCTCAAAGGAAAGGAAGACTCTGGAAGTCAGCACAGTGATTTTCAGGGACGGATAAAGCTGTTGAAAGAGAATCTGGATTTTGGGCGGTCTCTCCTTCAGATCAGCAACGTGAAGCTGAAAGATGCGGGGCTTTACCATTGCCTTGTTGAGTACGGGGGAGCTGACTACAAGACCATCAATCTGAAAGTTCAGGGTGAGAGTTCTACTGCAGGAGGTTCACTGTTCTAAGATACTGTGGGAAGATTTGGGGGCAGTCCTGGCAGAAGTGCTTGTTTGCATTAGCATTTCAAGAAAGCTCCCCAGAGACAGCAGCAGACTCGTGACCACTGCATCACTGTATGACCTTGTGTTGTCTAGGTGGAATCCATATGCTCCCCTTAATTTCTCTAGCATATGAGGAACAGTCTGGTAAATGCCATTTAGATAGCTGTGTCAACATTGTGTCAACACTGTAATATACCCTGTACCCCCAATTACAGAAAGACACACAATAGTAATATTTACTTTCCCTAGCAGTAGCATTATTTACAAAAACCAAACCAATGCACGGAATTGTGGCCAGGAAGCTGGGGATAAGAAAAGGGTATCTTGCTAATAGATGGTGTTCTTCTGGCTTTCTCCGGGTAAAGATCTTCTTCCATCTCTTTAGCTCCTTACAGAACTATAACCCAAGAAGTGATAAGCACGGGAGACAAAGAGTGGAAGTTAACTTGTCAATCAGAAGGATACCCAAAAGCTGAGGTGATGTGGCAAAATGGAGGGTGTCAGGATTTGACTGATAAGGCAAATACAAGTTATGAAACTGGAAGTGATCAGCTGTATCGTGTGACGAGTACTCTCACAATCAAAAACAGAACTCATGAAAATTTTCGTTGCATCTTCTGGAATAAAGAGATTCAAGAAAATACATCTGCGACTTTGTACATACTAGGTAACTACTCTAAATTTCATTTATGGTAATTTATTTCAAGATATTATGTAATTTTATCTGAGTTGAATCAGCCGTTATTTCTTTCGCATTCCTATCCAATTTTGGGAAGATTGAAAAGGAATACCTGTGCTGTTGAGTTTTGCTAACTGTGTATGCTTCCACTGTACCAACACTGTCATTATGCGTCTGTGGATGGAACTAATAATTCAAAGGTGGGAATCTTATACAACTTATTCTTATACAACTTATTCTTACACAACTTATGTGAAAACTGAGTGTTAAACTGTTATCAAAAAAAGATCAGTTATTTGAAAAGCATATCACTTGATGAGCAGGAGACTCATATAAATTAAGCATGCTTTAGAAAAAATTCTGTCTTGATTATGATATGACAGAAATGATTCTATCAACAACCTGGTCTTTTTGAACATTTGAAAAACCTTGTCTTTTCCTGCCATGACAGCTTTGGCTGTGGGCATATACAAATTCAACATCTTGCTAAAAATGCCTGTGCTTTTTGTGACTGACAGGATGGAAGCAGGAACTGAGACTAGGGAAGGTAAGCCATCCTTTCAAAGGGTGGAGAAAAGACAAGTTCAGTACTGATAAGAAAGGCATCCGGGCTTGAGGAAGCAGCATATCCTTTGCATTCAAAGTTTTACCAGAACAAAATGACACCTTCTCTACTTTGTCAAACAGCTGTTTCCTCTAGTCTTGTCAGAAGGACACTAAGCTGGGTATAAAACTTTGTACCTTGGTGATAAGCAGGATTTGTGACGGAAGGAAAGGCACTGTCCAATGGAATGCAGGAAGCAAAGACAAATAGGAATTTGTTAGATAATGTTTATCTCATATTTGTTATATAACATTCGTACATGCATTGTACGAATGCACGTCAGCCTCAGATAGAATCTAAAATGCTGTTATCACATCAATTATCATCATGAAAATAATAATGAAAATGAAAGAAAAAGGGAGAAGCTTATGTAATTCTGCAATGCCTTTCATCTACTCCTATTTCTTGAAGATTCAGCTGATGACGTGCTGTGGACTGAGAGCAGGCACTTTTTTTGGCCAGTTTTCATTGTGAGTGTCCTCGTTGGATCAATGTCAATTACTGTCTGTATAAGGAAAGGTACATTCAAGATATTTATTTTTGTGTATCTAAGTTGTTATAATGTTTCCTGTTGATTCATCTTCGCAAAGGTGAGATGAGATCATAAAAACACTCCTTAGATCCTTTACAATGAAACTACTTGTTTTTCACCACATTGTTTCTTTCTTTTTCTTTATCTGACTCAATCAATATGACCTGTTAGGTCAGCAGAGTGGAATGGGTTGCCCACCACACTCAGGTCATCTGATTATGCATCTCTATTAATTCTTCTCATAGGTAGAGCAATATGACTAATGCAATATTGTACTGAAGCATCAAAGCATGGTTTATGAACTTACCAGAAATAAAAGCTATTCTGAATGCTCAGAATAAATAGGGCACTTCAGGTTTCTTAGCATTTTTTTACTATACTGATCTATTATCTGATTATCTGATCTATGAGCTCTAGATACATCCTCATTCCTGTTAAAATACTATAAAAAATGATACATTACATATGAAGGGATCAGTCCAGTCTTCAGTCTGAAAGTTGTTTTTTTTTCACAAGATATTCCCACTGTGGCTTGGTACCACTTGTTTCATTTCCTTGTTAGGTTTTTCACATTTTCTACTCACTTGACTGACTTGGATTGGATAGTATCAGCATCACACAGTTGAAAACAGCTTAAGTATTAGTGCTAATTTGTTTTTATTTGCTAGCAAGCCAGAGGAAAGTCCTGAAGATATAATTGTAAAGTATCTAAGCAACACCATGCTCATGAACTATTTCTTTTTCTTCTTCTTCTTCTTTTTTTTTTTTTTTTTTTTTTTTTTTTTTTTTTTTTTTTTTAAGTTTGATATGTTTGTTTAAACCTGAAATAGATACTTTCCTGCCCTGACCATCATCCTTCTGCTTCCCTGGGAGAAGAAGGGTTTGTTTAAGGATTTTAGTATCAGTGGTACCTTTTTGCTTTTCATATTAACACATTCTGTAAAGTCATGCAGACCTCAAAACATCCATAGGAGCTCATTTAAAAATGTGAAAAAGAGTGATTCGCTGAACATTCTCTGCTTAGCCAGAATTTTTCCTCTAATAATCCTCTAATTATAGCAAATTTTATCCTGTAGTTTTAATAAATATAAATATATATACTGTAAAGCTGTATGAATAGACAGAGTATGGGGAGCATCGGTACAGTACTTTCAGCTTTATAATATCACACCCACGTGACTTTGTGAAACGTTACCAGAAATGCTCCAAAAAACTGAACAAAAAGAGAACTAAGTGCTGCTTTTGAATCACTCAAATCTTATAGTAGATACAAATAGGTAGCTGTCATAAAATTAAGCTGGGAGTAATTCACAGGTTGAAGAGTCTTCTCAAAAGCTTGTACACCAAAAGACATGTGCTTTCTCAGTCTGTATAATAGGACTGTGATTTTCCTGTCTGCCAGCTCTCTTTTCCTAGTGAAAGTCAGAAAAAGCTCTCATTTCTGGCTGGAAACGACACAAAAAGATGTATCAACAACAACTACGTTGAGCCTTCATTTTCAAACTCCATAAAATAAATGCAAAAGAGAACTGAATGTGGATATTCAGTTTTCTGGTCACAAATTCATCTCCTGCACAGGTACTATGGAAACGTCCTGGGAAAAGTGTTTGTGAAGCCTTGCAGGCTTGTGGGTAACATTGGCAGGCTACATAAAGGCTGTACATAAGCCTAAGTTCCAAAGAATAAACTCTTAGGAACATGATAGGAACAGGAGTAGAACATGAAAGTGTAAGATGGGACAGCAATATCCTTGAATTCTCAGAAGATTCCTGTCTGGGGATTTCAGCAAAGGTTGGGAATTTCCTTCATTGCATAAGTACTATTAATCACATGTTTGTCTATGTGATAGTATACACGATTATATATGACTAACATGATTATGTTGTATGTATGTAAGTGTCATAAACTAAGAATTGATTCAGAAGCTAAAATAGTACTGACAACATTTTTCTTTTAAAACTCAAGCTGACCTAGATGACCAGACAGGCAACTCTTCAAGAGCAGAGCCTTTCTGAAAATGGGCTTGTTTCCCACTGAATACACTAAGAAGGTGATTCCCTTTTTGTTCTCTGTTGCCCAACGTGCTCAAATGTTAGGTGAAAATATATAACGAGAAAACATTTGAGCAATTACATTTCAGTTATGTTAATGGATAGTGTCAATTGAGTTTTGGCTTGCAAACTGACTAGAAAGGAAATAGGAAGGAAAACTGACAGACTGTGAGCACTGAAGACTTGAAGAGGTGGAGAATTTTGAGAACCAGTGACTATACTATGCTAAGAGCACTCTTCCCACAAGCGTGCTTAAGCCCTTACTAGATCTAAAATGAGTATTTTCCTTTCATTTTGACTTTTCTCTCTTATTTTCTTTAGCTAGAGCAAATAAGGACTGTGGACTTGTCTGGCAAAATCATCAGTTCATATAGCAAGTATGTACCTGTGGCATAAATCTAGCTCAGTTGTGTCTTATGGAAATAATTTAAAAAAAAAATCCGTAACTGAGAATTTATTCTCTAATGGTGGCAATGACACTTTATTCCCTCCTGTTCAGACACTATTTTTAGGAAAAGGAATAGAATTGATACCTACATAGAGAAAAGAGACTAAAATACTTTACTCTTCTCTACTGATGGCTTTTTAAAATTTTTATTATTATTTATATCTTGTTTGGCTTTCTTTAAAGACCACTTTAAAATACACTACTCTGTGCAAGTTAGTCCATACAGACAGTTAAGATTTTTCCTTAAGAAAACCTATTTTAAAAATGCTTGTCCAAAACAGACACAGTATTTGATATTAGTATCTTTCCTAATTTAAGTCATACGCTTCTTGGAAGCCCTAAGACAAGTTTAACAAAGTTCTATCGTTGCATGAATGGTTTTATCTGTGCTGACTGTTATCTGTGTGTGTGGTTTGTTTTAAGGAGTGTCGAAAGATAAGGACGTGCATGACTGCAGAGGTTCTTCTTTTGAAGATGAAGAGCTGAAATGTAAGCATAAATGATAACGGTAAAAATAGTGGCAAATTTCACACAGAGAGAATCATCTGTTATCCTCACATTTAATGACCATTAGAAGTCTTGACAGCACAACTGGAGGAATGATGATGATAGTGGGGAGGGAGGCCTTAGCTCATCATTGCCACTCAAACTTTAACAAGTTATGAGATTCTGTCTCAGCAAAGCAGGAAAATAAATAACTGAGTCTTCGAAGCTCATGAAACAGACTGTGGCATAGCAAAACAGGGTGAAGTTATTGAAGCTTTTCTTTTACTTTCTCTCTAACTTTTAAAAGAACTTAAATTGCCTCCCAAATCCTTCCCTGCAATACTTTACTACTGTAAAACTAAAGAAAGGCAAGCATGTATAGATCTCTGAACAAAACAGCTAGGACTTGGGGTTACCCTGCCAGAGAGAATGACAGATGGGGCACTGTATTGGATTTTAAAAGAAGAGATTATCTAAGTCACAGCAATTTCTCTGTATTTGTTAGGTTGTATTCATTTTACTGCATTTGTACAAACACTAACCTCCAGTGTGTTTAAACTACCATTTCTTACCATGATCACATTTTGTTTCTGTTTGACCTTCTTATTATTTTTGATCTTTTGTTTTGAAAATGAAAGGATTTTTTCTTGGTACCTCTGAGAAAGAGACACAAATAGAATAAATGCTCTGTTATTTTATATTTTTGAAGTTTGATTTTTTTTTCATATAATTCTTCCTTTTGCAGACATACAAATTGAGAAGACTTAGAGAAAGAAGGGGAAGATTTTCCATTGGTGGGGAAGATTTGACAGCCCTGATGTTCTCTGCTCTGTCTGTCTGGGGAGATACTCATTTTTTGTTTTTATTCTGTTGTTGAAATCTTCTTACATATTACTGTAAATTGGGAAAAGATGCAATTATCAAAGCATAATAGGCCCCTAGATTCTGGCCTCTTTATACAACTAAGTACAGGCAGGTTTATTTAAATGTCCACATTTATGCTTTCTGACGTTTATGCACTTTCAAGGACACATCCTATTGAAAATGTATTGAAGATAAAGCACTTTAGGTCTAGGATCATAAAAAACTTCACAGCTCATCCTTAAACAGTCCATTTTCTGAACTTTCTTCCTGTTGAAACTCTCAGTTCACTGCAGTGATTTTGTTTTCAAGATTGTGAAGAATTTTTTCAATATACATAGAAGATAAGAGTGCAACAAGAAAAGATGTTATATAATACAGGACATTTTCTGTCTCTGTTGTAGACCTTAAAATGCAGGCTACTTTCAGCTATTTTTTTTTTAATGGATACTGTAACCCTCTTGATGACTATTAGAAAATTCCTGGAAATTATTATATAATGCTGAGCTTATTCATCTCTTTCTCTGAAAAAAGGTTGTTTTGAGGTTTTAATTTCCTTGTGATACAGCTGGCACTACTTGATTAGTAAGTGATTGTTATTCTTCTGATTTAATATTTGGGGATAATACAACTCTTTGGACCTTCAAGAAGTACACATCTCAGTTTGGACTGCCCTTTTGTTCATTTTGGAAACAGAAGAAGAACCTTCTCACTGCTAGGATGTAAAATATATGTTCTTGTTATTACTTAAGAAATGATGATGGAACATGCTCCTAGATAGCATTTCTTAATCTATTGCTGTGTTACATTTTGAAAGTTCATTGCTCCTTGGTTGTTTTTGTCACACAGATTAAAATTATTTATCACAATGCCATTCATAACTGTGTTTTTAAATAAAAACATCTTGGGTTTTTTTGGTTTTTGTTTTTTAATTATCATTATTTTTCCCATCTTTGACATGTCAGTGTCTGGTGTGGGGACTGCTCATGCTGTTTCTGGAAAACTCAGATATTCAAATAGCCTCTAATGTCTCCCACAGAGATAAACTGTGAAAACACGGAATCAAACTGGGCTCCTGCTTTATTTTTTCTGTTTGACTTAAATGAGTGTGCTTTGTAGTCCCAGAGGTGGGAATGCAGGTTCTGGCCCATGTCTTCACTGTGAGCAGAATTCAATCTAGCTAATACAAAGAGGTATTTAGTATGTCTCAGGAAGCTGCTTTAGGTAGTAGAAGGTTGGTACATCTAAGCTAAAGTGTAACTGAAGCTAACTCTGAAGTCATTTATTCATTGGAAGAATGCTATATGAACTTGGACACCCTCTCTTGTTTCTCAGCACATTTTTTGAAGCCTGTATCTTGTCACTGAAGGCAATTCTTGGTTTTTCCTTAAGTGCAGGAATGGCTTTAGAAGTATGAGGACCATATGTAGAAAAATCACTGCCTCCCTACACATGCTTGTGGTTTCATATTACCACATAAATAATGTCCTTTGCAGACAAGATTTCCCTCTGAAACCACAGCAGCTGTCTACCACATAGTGAAGTCGGGATGAAAAGAAAATTCTTCTAAATTAGTATGACACTTCACAAGGCAGTACTGTTAGTGTGTGCTCAGTGTCACAAAACACAAGATGTCTTCATCAAACTCCACCAATCAACAGGAACTGCTTGTTATTGTCGCTAGTGCTAGACGAGTAAGACAAGAAAATGACGGGAATATAAGTATATTTTTAATTTTCTTAGCTGAGCCCTATTATACAAAATGACAAGTGCTTGAACTCCTTAGTGGCTGATGGGAGGCCAGAGATTTTACTCTTTCACTAGAAAAGTGCTGTGTCCAGCAGATGATGAGAAAAGGCCTGTTGTCTCCATGCAAGTTCTTTGAATTTCTCTTCAGTAATACGACAAAATTTTTACATGGTCAAATAGTGATAGTACAAGGAAAAATGGTTTTAAACTAAAAGACAGGAAATTCAGGTTAAAAGGACATTTTTCATTTGGTGGGTGGTGAGGCCCTGGCACAGGGCTGCCCAGATAAACTGAGGATACCCCATCCCTGCAGATGTTCAAGTCTAGATTTGATGGGGCCCTGGGCAGTCTGGGCTGGTGGGTGGGATTGGAACTGGATGGGCTGTAAGGTCCCTTCCAAACTAAGCCAATCTGTAATTCTATGATTACGTGATTCTGAATCTGTAATTCTATAACACTGTGTTCTTTAACATCCAAACTGTAAGTTGCGTAATATAAATATGGCTTTTAGTATAAACTAATTCTCTTGACTTCATGAGTACAGGGAAAAAGGCATCCATGGTGGTCCTTCACAATGCCATGAGGTATTTTGGCATAAATAGTGCCTGCTCATGATGGCAGAATACCTAAATAAAAATAAGACCCATTTGGATTGTGAGAACTAGGTAAGGGGAAATCCTTCCTGAATCTAACATAAAAACATAGTTAAACACCATACTTCAATATTTTTCCCTTGGTTAACAATTCTTGCATGACACTTCAGTGTTTTGTGATTTTTTTGAGAGCAGACTTGGTTTCAGTAACCTGCATTTTGCTTTTTAATGGACAAACAACTTTAGAGGCCCAAAATTGCTAAGAAAAGCCTGCTTTGTGTGCACAGCCAAATTGACTTATTGGTCTTTAAGTTCAGAAACCGTTCATTTAAAAAAAATGTAATTATGAGCCAGCTTGGACAAATTTTTCAATGAAACATTTCATTTTGAAGAATATAATTATTCCTACTGCTACTGACAATTGTATTAAAGTATAACTAATGATAAGAAAAAATAGAATAATTACTATTGGACCTGCAGGGCTTTTAATGTCTGTTCCTTTTTCCTTCTGGCTGGAAATATCCTTGACAGACAAATACCAATGGTGTACCATCTAAATATGTGAAAACCAGGAAAATACCATAGAAGTTGCTTGTGCAGCAACTCCTCTCTAATTCCCCCTCTCCCATCCCGTATTTTCCTGGTCTGGCACTCTATATGATTGTTCCCGTTAAGATCCTGCCAGGTGTCTCTGGGTCCAGGAGATGCCTAAGCCAGTTCACTGATTTCCTGTCCCACAAAAGGAACACAAGAAGGAACACTATTGTAGCCAGAGCTAGTGCAAAACAACTAAGAGATGGAGGCATTGGCAATAATATTACTGTGGGATACCTTTTCTGCCAGGTGGGAAGAGAAGAGGAAACATTTTGGGTTTTTTTTGCAGAAGAAGTCTCAAGAGCCTTGTGGAAATTTAGATAGCTAGATGCAGCAGAGGGAGATATTTTTCATCAAACAAGTAAGGAATCCGTGGTCAGAGAGGGCTAGAAAAGATACAGCAGGGATCAGAACAGAAGAAAAATAGCAAGCATAGGCATGTTAAGAAGGAAGTGACGTCACTCATGCTCTATCTGTGGAATAAGACATTTGGAAGCCTCCCAGAAATGCCTGTACACAATGCGCACAGTTGTGGAACAGGCAGGAGGAATTACAGAAGTCTGTGTGCAGAGTTCTACTGGGCTACGACCTGACTGGGATCACAGAGACATGGTAGGATAGCTCACACCATTGGAGTGCTGTGATGGACTCTTTAGGAAGGACAGGCTGTGAAGGTAAAGAGAGTGAGTTGCCCTTTGAATGAGTGGGGATGTATGGAGCTCTGCCATCAGATGGGTCACAGAATTGTTGTGGTTGGAAGGGATCTCTGAAGATCATCTGAGTCAGTTATCTAAACTTTGGACTTCCGACAGGTGGCAAGTAGATCATTGGAGTTTTTCTAGAAGAAGTTCAGAATAGCTTCATGTGATATGGCTACACATAAATGTTAACTTAGAAGAGATTAACTGTAGTATGGATGTAAATAACACAGTGTAATAGTAAAATACATATTCAGTGAGTTTGATGAGGTTTAACAGAGTCATAGAATAATCTATGTTGGAAAAGATGTCCTCTCCTACTCCCACATTTAAGTTGGCACAATGCAGTGCCAACTTATATCCATGTAATCAGGCTTTATCCTGTCAAGTTTTTGCAAGGATGGAAATTCCTCAAGGTGCTTGTCTTTGACTACCTCCACCGTGAGCAGATGTTTTTTTTAAAAACAGAATATAAATGTAAATGGAATAAAGTGAACAAGAAATGTATTCTGCAGAAGTTAGATTATCCCTAGAGAAAGTCTTCTAAAATGAATCTGATGAAAATTAAGAAAATGGTGAAATTAAGAAAATGCACCTTGGTAGTTTCATGAATGTGGAATAGTTCTAGTAGATGCAAGTTTAGAATCCAAGGCTGGATAATGCCCTAAGGAGACATAAATCCAAAATTAGTGTGCAATTAAAAGAATAATACTGTATAATGCTTTGAACAAACCTGTTTGGATGCTTGTTGTCAGATCTGAGTACAAAGTGCTTTCAGTATGAAACAATTCTGAATACAAAACGAAACTGGAACTGCTCATAAATTCCTAAGAAACTTGGTGGTTTCCTTTTAGCACAGTCACTTTTTTTCTGACATAGCTTGAATAGGAACATGAGCTGCTTTGTTCAACAACAGTTTTAAACTGGTTATGAGAACCAGATGGATAGCTGCTGCTATGCAAACAGGATACAGCTGTTCTAAATTCTGAAAATCTTAACTGTTATTTGAACCTTGTTCTCCCAGTGGTTGCATAAAGATCCTATGTAAGTATAATGCTGTTAAAATACCGATCTAAATTTACTCAATTTCTAGCTGATGGACTGCACATTTTGCTTAATGTTATCAATATTAACTTAAATTGATTTTATTTTCAAACGATTTGCAGAGAGTGAATTTTGAATCAGACACTGAGTCTCGGATCCTAAAATAGATCATATAACTTCAGACTCTGGGGAAGGAAAATTTCAGGAACTGAGCCTCAGTCTCTAACTCAATCTTCTGACATAGGGGAAGGCAGAATAGGAGTGCTGGCAATCCTCTACAGCTTGCTGACTGGGACATTGCTGTTTGTAAATCTTTCTTTCTGAAATTCAGGGAAAAGCTGTAAAAAGAAAATCTAACTCTGCATGTATTTCTGTCCGCATATTTCTGGTTACTTTCTTTTTACTGGTATTAAGCTATTCAATGCATGGCTGCTTTGATTGTATAGCAAGCACAGAATTCCACCTTGTGCATTTCCAAGAAAAGTCTGTAGATGCTAGAGATCACACTGAACTGTTAGCCTGTACTCTTCAGCACTGCTGCTAATAACTGAGAGGTACAGAATGCACAGCAGCATTAGTTTTAATGTTGTTAATGACATCCTCTATAACAAAGATTTCAACTCAATCTTATTCTAGAATATATGGGGGAAAAATGAGGTTTTGTTAGTATATAATCATATTTGATATTAAATGAAAAGAAAGGGCAGATACAAGAAGTAATGGTTATCACTTGTATTGCAATTGTTGTTGTAATTGTAGTTGGCTATAGGTGCATTTTAAACAATGCAGGGGTAGTGAAAACTAAAAGTGAGGGAGATATAAAAAGGAAATGAGAAATATTATCATTTCACCTGGAAACTGAAGTGAGATGGAGAGCAGATTGAAGTGACAGAAATAGGCTGTCATAGGTGATGTGAACATCAGAGGTGAAGCAATGGGCTCAGCAGTAGCACACTGAGGTGAACAAGGTGGACAGTGAGTGCAGCAGGAGAGAACAGACAACAGGTGAGAGTGTGTGTTGGCACTGCTACAGACAAGGACAGCAGAAGTCTGTGTCCTCAGGACCTGCTGAGATAGTACTGAGAAAATGACTGAGCAAATGTTAGCTTTTATTAAATTAAGATCTAATTTTCTTTTTTAAAATCCCTGAAATGAAAATGAAGTACATTCTTTCTGCTTGAAAGATGTAGACGCAGTTGATACGAGCTTAGTTTTTAGCTTATTTTTTCACATGG